AAATTGGAATGCTCAGATAATTAAGGAAAATAAGATTATTAAGGCAGGAGCAGGGGTAATTATATTATTATTATTATATCTACTGCCTTTGCAAGGTACAGAGACACGTGGCAAGCGGAGAGCCAATCATTGTGTTTTTTTTTAATTTTTAAAATTTGAAAATACGGAGGGGTTTGTTTGTCTCGTGAAGTGTGAGAAGCTGTAGGGTTGGGTCCATATCCATTGGACAAACCTCCTTTTTCAAATTTCAAATTCAAATTCCATAAAATCCCAATTTTCAAATTCCAATTCCATCCCCATATATTATATATACACAATAAAAAGAAAGTTACTAAATTCTCTCTCTTTCTTCTTTCACAACCTTTCTCAGCTCTTGTCCATTTTGGGCACTATAATTTTAAAAAAATCATTTGTTTTTCTCTTGGTTTACAGAATCATAACAAAAATTGTATAAATAACAAAAAAAAAAAATCGATCAAAAAGGTATAGTAACGTTTTGAGAAATTTATTGTGGGATATGTCAATGTTGTGTAAAAATGTTAGGGTTTAAAAAGAGTGTAGGAATTTAATGGACCAAAGTTTAGAGGTACGTGGACGAACGCGAAAATTATAAAAGATAACATTAGGATGACTAAAATATGATTTGAATTATTTTTTTGTTAACTATTATTATTATGGTGTTGTTATTAAGCTTAAACCTTGTTTTTAAATTCCTAAAGGAACATTATCTTTGATACGTGAATTTTTTAAGCTTTCTATTTTATTTTATGGATTTTGTAAAAGTAATTATTTTTGTTCATGTCCGTTATTTCACCATGAATTATGTTTAACATATAGATGATGTAACTTTAAATATGTGCATTAATATGTTGGTCTACATATGTTGAATTAAAAAACATGTTGGCTATTTATAGAAACAATGTAGACTATTTTGAGTGATAAATATTGATGGCATCGTTGACCTATTATGATAATAAATATTTTATTTACTGAATTTTGTTGAAATTAAACAATATTGTGTGTTTAAGCATATATTTATTAATCTTTTTAATGCAAAATATACCATGTTTTAAAAAATTACTCTAATTAGTCGATATGGGTACAATTTAAGTGGTATAGATTTCAATTAAATTCACAATCATACCAACAACACAAGATATTTAAAGAATGATAATTTCGTATTTAGAAGTAAAAAAAAATGACGACACTATAATCTTTTAAGTTGAGTTTCTATTTATTCTCGACATTTTAGAATACTTTTTTTTCATAGGGACAAATTTGAATATTTCCTACTCAATTTTAACTAGAGAACTTCAATTTTCAAAAACATAAAAAAGAGAGTAGATAAAAAAATTATAAAATATTTATATCTTAACCATTCAACGGTTCATAACCATTTTGTTGTCTAAAATATATATATATTTTTTATTTTTTCGCGTTTTGAGTACATGTTTAATTGAACACTGGTATAGGAAAACAAATTCATCAAATCAATAAACATAGAATTCTAAATACCATTATTTTGTCACTCAATTTTAGTGATATTATAGATTTAATTAAATTTTGTCCGTAGCCAAAAATATCTTCAAATAATAAAAATGATTAGTTTACTAAACGGTTAAAATCCTTTTACAAAGATCTAAATCGAGACAAAAGAAAAAAGAAAAAAAAAATCAAACTTTTGCTTTTTTTATTCATAGGCATGGAAACTTCACTGTACGGACGAGGTGAGATTCTGTTTGAAAGGAATATAATATTTATCAAGTAAGTAGATATTTTAATTTAATGTAATTTAATATTTTTGACTGAGTAACGTTGCTTTCATATTCATATTCATATTCATCACGTACCCACTTTTGGTTTTACGACGACGTTTTGAAAAGCCATTTTCATATTCCCTTCTTTTATACCTTATCATCATTACACATGCTTTGTGAAAACATGCCTGGCTTTATCCACGACGCTCTCCACCTTCCCCTCTGACCGTCGGATCAATTGGGCGGGAGAATCCCATCCCACGGCTCACATTACTCCGTAATGGCGGGAAACTAACGTGGAAAAAAATTATTTTATTTTATTTAATGACTTCGGGAGTATTTATTGGGTGCGGCGGAGATAGACGTGTGAGTGGGACGGAGATATACGACAACACCGACGGCAGGTAGAGCCGTGGGGCCCGCCTTTGAAAATTTTCGAGTTTTCCGTTACGTTTCAGTCTACGTTACTTCATTATTTTAAATAAAAATTATTTTCTCTCTCTGGATTTTTGATTTACGAAATTACAAAATAACCCACCCCGTTTCCAACCATTTCAAAATTTCAACCCATCTTCAAGCTTCCATGGCTTAGCTCGAGGGTGGTAAATTCGGTAAAATAGCATACAATAACATTATATAACAATATGCATAAATAATTTATCACTTTTATAAATTAGGAAAGTCAATTTCATATCAAATTGTAAGATCTTTGCAGCAGTAGTCGGGCCCTCCATTATTCGGTCGGAAAATTTTGTTACAAAAGACATCTTATTTTTACCCCTCGAGAAGTCGATATTTTTCAAATTATATAGAAACTAGAAAGCTAGTAAAAATTAAATGCGTACAATTATTTTGAACAATGATGATGAATAACTGTTTCGTATACTCAATAATATGCAAGAAAAAAAAAAGGAAGAAAACTGTCCTTTCAACTAATTCTTTTGAATTAATTAAAGGAAAAAAAAAGGGAGGGAGGGGTAATTTGGTAATTTGCAAGTGGTGAGTGGGTTACAGCCGAGGTCAACAAGTCAACGCAAACGCTTCCGGAGAGAGAGAGAAAGCAGCGGGTGGTATTGGGCATCATGTCGCAAACCCGCTCCCCCACCAAGTGCATGATTATCGATACATCTCTCTTACGTGTCGTGTTCTCATTGGTCCGTCACGCCTCGTCGGGATTCATAGCAACACACCACTAAAACAATATCTGTCTCAGTCTTTTTTTTTTTCTCTCTTTCGCTCGTAAAGCGCAAACACTCCCTTTCTCTGTGTTTTTTTTTTCTCGGCGAAAAAATCCCAAATTTCCCACTGATCTCTTTGTCCCTTCCCCCTCTGAAATTCCCGTTACCGCGCTCCCCCATTGCCTGCCATTTCTCCTACGTATAATGTGAATTTTCTCTGTTTTTTTAAATTTTTTTTTTCTGGAAATTGGGATTACCCATTGAGTTCAGAGACTCGGAAATGATTGAGGCTGTGGAGAGTTCCATCAATGGCGGTTTCTCGCACTTGCAGAGCTGTGGGGACAGTAGCGAGGAGGAACTCTCCGTTCTCCCTCGCCATACCAAGGTCGTCGTCACCGGAAATAACCGTACCAAATCGGTGCTCGTCGGACTTCAGGGTGTCGTCAAGAAAGCCGTTGGCCTTGGCGGCTGGCATTGGCTGGTAATTAATTGTTCGAATCTTCTGAGGAAACATTCAATATTTCTTTTTCTTCTCATTATGGGTGTTAATGTGAGTCACATTACATTTCACCCTATTTGAATTTTCGAATTCGGGGGTTTTGGGGGATCCATTTCAGGTTTTCTGATCAATGTCGGCGAATTTCCCCCTGTTTTCTTTTCAATTTTGTGTCTCGGATCTTAATGCCTCCTTCTTTCTCACTCTTCGTTAGTTAATTTTATGTGGGTTTTTAGATCTTGTCCCATTAAATTCGGGATTCGATTTTTTTATTTCGCAATTAATAACTGGAAATACAGGGTTTTCTTGGGCGTAATTTGGATTTAATATGTATCTTTTTATTTGGGTTGGCATCTCCCTTTTCTATCTTTCCTTCTTTTTACTTGCATGTTCATTTAATCATTGGATCTCGTAGTTATATGAGTTTTGCTATAATCTAAAATGAATTTGATATTGATTTTTTTAATACTTCGGATATTTGATGGGCAGGGTTGCTTTTGCTTATCCTGATTCAGTATGTTAGATGAAATTAAGATGGGGTTTTTTTTAAAATCATATGATTGAAGTAGAAAATTCCCCTTTCTGGTTTCTTGACTGTAAAATATTAGTTGTAATTTAGGTGTTATTGGATGTTCTTCTTTTCTTCCTTGATTGTAAGGTCTGCTAGTTGTGAATGTGATTCATTGTTCTTGGGTATGACTTCAAAATGCAGGTTCTAACAAATGGCATAGAGGTGAAACTACAGCGGAATGCGCTCAGTGTGATCGAGGCTCCAACGGGTAATGAGGAAGACGACGACCTCGAATTCGAAAACTTGCAGTGGAATGGATTGGATATGGGTGAGTCTTACAGCTGCTGATAATCCAACCTCTCAGCTCAATCATTCATTTTCCTTTTCCTATTTTGGTTAGCTGTCTTAGAATTGAGCTCATCCCATAATTGTTATCTGTCTGTGTCTGGCGGTTTTTGGATTGATGTCCTGATTTATCTCTCTTATTAACTTGTTACTAGCTACTTATTTGATCGTTTTAACTGAGGATCACTTTTCCCCCCACCAAATATCCTTTCTTTTTTTTGTCTTTGTGGTTTCTTACAGATCATCTGGTAACTTGTAGCTTTTCCCCCTTGTTAAAATCACAGCCACACCAAAAAGCTAAGACTTGATACTTTTTTAGAATCAAATATCAGCAGAAACATGATCTGGTCATGATTATTATGTAGTGTTTTCAAGTTCACGATAACCTTAATCTTTTGTAAACCTCTTTAAAACTGTAATTCTTGAAAATAGTTTTGAAAATAACTCGTAAATTCTTTGACGACGAGTGGTAGTGGGTTCTACAGATGGTGTTGGTGGCAACATAGGATCCTTTGTGAACTCACTTTTTACTTTTCCTCTTTCTGAATCGTTGTTCTCCACAATTTTTCTTTATCCTTTTCTGACCCTTGTCACTCATTCATGATAATGCTCTTTAACTATTTTTGATTCTCAGCATCCGATGATGCCCAAAAATCCCACAAATCAAGGCATAAATTACACAAGTCATCCGGGTCATCTCACAAGACTATGAGCAGATCCCTTTCCTGTGACTCACAGTCAAAGAGCTCGGTTTCTGCACCGCAAGGATCCACAGTATATTCTTTTATCCTTCTGTGTCTTTTACTGCTGCGAAACATGTTTTAGCATTGTAGTTTAACTTGATTTTCCTGTTGCATTGCTGTCTCTCCCTTGTAGAAGGTTGACCTTGGTAAATTGGAGATGGCTGCGTTATGGAGATATTGGCGACACTTCAATCTTGTAAGTTTCGATAGCCGATGGGGTTCGATGGTTTGTTAATAAATTCCTTATTTACCTAGATATTGATGGATTTCTGCAGGTAGATGCTATTCCCAACCCGTCGAAAGAGCAATTGGTAGATCTAGTTCAGAGGCATTTCATGTCACAGGTACTCGGTTTCTCCTTGTTTTCTTACAACCACATTACCAAACGATCCTGTTCATACTATTGCTAACTTATATATGTTACACAAAAATTGCTTTTGATTTATTGACGAAACCTTACGATAGCATTCTCGTTGCTCTCTTCTTGGTTGCAAAGCAACTGGATGAGTTGCAGGTCATAATGGGTTTTGTGAAGGCTGCAAAGAGACTGAAGACATGAGAAGAGTAGAGAAACTGGGGAATCCACTGAGTTGGTTCTCATGCTAACAGACAATAGCTGGATCAAGAAGTGTTTTGGGTTCTCTCTGTAACATATGTAATGATGGATCACGGATGGTTTTTGTATTTCGGGTCGGGATCGGGATCGGGATCGGAAGGGGTGGTTAGTACGATTCTGTGGTAGTTAATAGAGTAATATCTTGTTTTAGTGACGATGTTACTTGTAGTGTAGATATGTGTAAACTGCAAATATTAGAGACCTCTGAGAAAAGTGCCCCAGAATGACTTTCTTTCTAAGCTGTTGTTTAATGTAATGCTGACTGACTTTTGGGGGTGTGTTTCCATTGCCCAAAAATGTACATATTTTGCTGTTTCCATATCCTGGTTTTCCTGACTTAACCATGAAAAAAAAGTATATAAATTACTTTTTTTTTGTAATATTATGATTTTTATTTGTTGAGTAAAAGTGGAGAATTCATCCTCTAACTTTTTTTTTATTTAGATTATTRTGACTATTTTCACAGTTTCGTATGAAATTTGATTACACGAGCTTGCATTAGTATCTTATGGATCAAGTTGATTCTTTTGTTATATTTAATATTATTAATAACACAGATCATTAAATTTAAATCAGGTTTATACATTTTGAGCATTATAAAAGGTTATGATAATGATAATGTACTAATATCSAAAGCGAGCCGTGGTAATTGACATGACATATATTTCTAATGAAAAGGTTGTGAGCTTGATCTCCCAACCTACATGTTGTCATGTTTGTCTTCCAAAGATGATGCATGTTCATGCACCTACTTGAATATTTGTGGTACATATATGTGTATATATTTTTATAAAAGATTATGATAATATYTTAAAATTTTAAATTATGTTTAATTTATTTTGTAAAAATTGGTTATGTTACATTGCATGACACTCCATGCTCCATTACATAAAACTTTGACTTTGAATGAGATAGCATGAATTGATAGTAAAATAGACATCATTTGCCAATATGAGCTCTTGTGACTAGATCACGAGTTCAARCCTCCCATCCCCACTTCATTTCTAGCTCTATTTAGGTGGGAACAAAATRTTCCTCCATCTTTACCTTGTAGAGAACTTAAATAGAAATTTCTGGACCTGTTAGTACAGATCCCATCCCATAAGAAAAAGTAATATCTCTAGTCACATGTTAAGATTGACGATCGATCAGATGCCACACATSATGGATGTAAGATACAAAGAGACTGGACATGAAATCGCGCTACATTGTTCAAAATTTATCTTAATACACGATCGATATTACTAAATTAGACAAAAGCTAAACTTTAACTCAAATCCTAAAATAGCCGKCCATCATAATGTTTGTTKGGCTTTAATTTGATATAATAGTACATGATAGAGATTGAATAATAGGTGTTTAGGAGGAAGAAATTAAGAAAAAAAAGGGAAACGTAATTAGTGGTAATGATTATTTGTGAAATTCCCGAGTTTCCCTCCAAAAAAACACTCGTCATTTACACAAAGCACGAGATACCAATTAAAGTTGGCAACTTTCATTGAGTTGCTTACCTATTAGTAAGTAGTAGTTGGAGCCTCACCCCTAATCATTTTGTTCTTTCTTATCCTATATTTTTGTATTTTTAATCTCCTTCTTATTTCAACATCTCAACTTCTATTTCTACGATAGAAAATTCTTAAAAGATTGAGTCAGGTTCACAAATAGCTTACCATTTTAATAAATGTAAGGATATTATTAAGACTTAGTTTAATAAATTTGTAACAACTTCCCCGAGGAAAAGTGGATTAATTGGCTAAAACAAAATAAAAAATAATAAGATAAATAAAAAGAATAAAAGATAA